TCCCCCAGCTACCTTAGCATATATCGCAAGAGTCAGTGACAATTTTTCTGTGCTGACTCAGGTAGCAAACTGTGTTAGGGTAATGCATGCTAGATGCTGTAACAACCAAGCCCTAAATTATGGCTTCACAAAACAAAAGTGGCTAACACACACACACACACACACACACACACACATTAATATCCCCTTGATTTCACAGTCTGATGAGAGTCAGGGAGCTTTTTTGGGCTGTCCTCTCTGACCAGTAACTCAGGCATCTGGGCGCTCTCCACGACACGGTTCTGCCACAGAGGAGGGAGAGAGAACCACCTAATGCTCCAGAAGGAGATTCCAAATCCTGGATGTTGAAGTGCAAACATCCTTCACCCACATTTCATTAGCCAGAACGAGTCACATGACCACAGCAGAACTGCAAGGGAACCTGGGAGATGTAGTCTTCTTATACCCAGGAAGAGAAGACTAACTAGACTCCACCACACACAGGAGAAACTTAACTCTTAGAGGAGAACCTCTTTCTCTTACCCCCTTCTCTACCTCCCATTCCCCCCCACCAAGGTAGTATAGCCTCATGAAGAAATTGCAGTCTTTGGGATCAGAATGGAGTTTGAACTTCATACACCTGCCAATGATTGTGCAACCTTGTTAACTCTGAACATTTATGATTAAACCCAGGAAGGGGCTGCAGCAGGACTCATGTTCAGGTCTGGTTTATTCCATCCTGCTGCCTGCTCTGGGCTCAACGAGGCCCGCTGCTCCAGGCTCCCTGCAGTTGCTGGCCAGCACACCATGCTCCCACTGCACCATTTTAAACTGGCTGTGTCGAGAGGGGCTCATCTGACAGTGCACATGAATTACCCTTGCTTCTTCGCTGCTCCCATAAAATGCCTGGAAACCAGACCTTTCCCAAATTCCAGCTTCATGACGGGCTCCATTCATTTTCTGTTTGTTGACATTGTACGGCATGTTTTCTACCAGTGCAGCCATTGTGCCTGGCTCCCCTGGGGTTGCCTGCTTTATTTTCCTCTGGCAAATCTCCCTCCATTCTTTTCCCCACTGTAAGAGCCTGGCAGAAAAACAGGCTTCCGTGAAATGGCCATCAGATCACTGTGTGGTTTGGCCCTGCTTGGCTATTTGTCTCTGGGGCACCAGTCCATTCAATTAAACAAGGTCAAAGCTGTGTTGGCTAAATTTATTGTCACTATTTTTCTGAATTTTCACCTTATTGGAGGAAGCTGGGCAGAAAGATGAAGGATGTGGATAATAATTTTGTCAGTTAGGTGCAAAAACATAGAAGCATATGTCACACCCCCTCCCACATGCACACAAAGGAAAAAAGACTGGAAGGAAACATGCCAAAATACTTATAGTTGTTGTCTCTGAGTAGCAGGGCTTTTGTTTATTTTATTTATTTATATAGACTTTTCCGTACTTGTCAGAATTTTCGAAGTGGGCCACTACCGCTTAGATTCTCACGGGAACTGGGTGTCGTATTCCAAGGGAATTGGAGAGCATTCAGCAAAGCGACTATCTGCGGAAGTTCCGGGGTATAATCACTCCAGAGGTCCTGATCCATGAGGTGACTCTGCGGTGACCAATCTCAGCTTAGTCCACGCTGACACTACATGCTCAGAAAGGTCCCTGTGCTCTGCCTCACCATCCTTCCTTTACCTCTACTCTGGGATCAGGGTTCAAGGACTGATCACGCTCTGGGATGTGGCTTGGAGTTTGGCAAACAACAAAGAAAGCTCTGGCAATGCTTCATTGCCAGCCAAGGTGTTAGGAATATCCACATGGTCCCTCCAGATGAGGAAGCCAGGAAGCGCACTCTGCTCTAGAGCCAGGAAGATCCCCAGGGCTTGGCAAAGCCTACAAAGCAGGAGACAGTGGCACCCTCAGTGACATAGCAATGACAGGAAGCTGTTAGCCCCTGGACGGCTGCACTTTGGGGGAAGCCGAGGCTAGCAGGGAGGAAAGGAATAATCCTACTTCTTCTGTCCACCATCTCATCTTCCAATGGTGCATCTCCTTAAAGGAACGCAGTCAGAATCCAGGGGTCATGGAAGCCTAGGGAGCATCATCACCATGGGCAGTCTTGTTGGACACAAGACACAGCAGAGAAAAACAAAGAGTACCTTTAGAGTTGCTGTCGGCATTAATGGTGCAATTAGAAAATAAGGTGTTGTTGACGTAAAAACACAGCTCAGTGGATGAGAAATGGAGCAGCATTCAACACGCCATCTTATAGCCTTGACTGTGGACCTACCCTGGGCTCAGCTCTAGCCCTGCTGTTGTTCATCAGACACCACGAGGGCTTTTGAGGAGTCCCCCACTACATGGGGGAAAGAGACATGTAACCAACAACTCAAATTTGGAGGCAAGCAAACATTATTTAGGAACAACAAACAAGGAGGAGAGTCTGTCCTTTGCAACACTGTGGATGAAGTTGGAGGGCATCATACTACATAAAATAAACCAGAAAGAGAAAGACAAATACTAGAAACTTAAAAAAAAAAAAAAAAAAAAAAAAAAAAAGGAAGGAAAAAAATGCTGAACTCACAATCTAGAAGAGTGGTTGTCATGGAGCTGGGGAAAATAGGGAGAGGTTGGTAAAAGCCTACAGACTCAGTGGTGGTTAAGGCCTGAGGATCTAATGCATAATATGGTAACTATAGGGGTAACGTTGTATAGTTGAAATTTGAAAAAGTAGAACTCAATGTTCTTACTGTAAAAGGGGGAGTGGGAGGGTGAGTATGCCAGGTGATGGATGTAGTAATTAACAACATGGGGTGGCGGAAACCTCTCACCATGAATCTGATCACCCCCGTGTATACTTAAAAGGTGATGTTGTAAATATCGTACATTTTTTTTATTTGTCAGTTACGCGTCAATAAAGCCAAAAACCAACAAGCACAGGTGGGGGAGTGGTGTGTGAGAAATGTAGACTAGGGTGCTAAGAGCCAGCTCAGGGCTCACCCCTAGCTAAGCTGGTGGAATGGTCTGGATAAATCCATTTCCCTCCTTTGTTCAGGCTTTCCATCTGCAGAGTGAGGCTTACAGTTTGCAGTTAGGGACCCGCAGGTGCGCTAGAGAAACCGGGGCTCATGCTCAGCCCTGGACTCCAACATTCACTGAAGTTAGTATGAAGATGCAGATTTGCTCAATCCTGATTTATTTCAGTCCATAGGACTTGGGGGGTCAAGGCCTATGCTAATTTGTATCATCTGTCCATATGCACACGTGTGTGCACACGCACACTTGCACACACTTCATTCCTGTCTTTGCTGCTCCTCCTTCCCCCTCAGCAAACCTGAAACACACCCTTCTTGCCCAGCGTAGAAAAGTTTGGGTGGCACTGGGTTTACTCCATTAACTGAAGATGTGCTTGTGATGAATTATGAATGACCTAACATGTCTTAAATCATAAAGAAATCCAATTTAACTTTCTGCACACAGTTCAAAGTCTGCTTTTAATCTCTGCTTTGCTCATGACTATTGTGCATCTTAGTAGGTTCAGCATCGAGAAGTGAGAAGCAAAATGTTGCAGTTTTGCATCAAGCAGATATTGACTAATACTCTTTGTTGCTTTCTGTAGAGGAAGGGCTCTTTGGGTTTTTCATTTCCTCTTTGTGTGTATGTGTGTGTGCGCTCGTGTGTGTGTGTATGCTTAATATCCAGAAGCAATAAGTAACACATTAGCCCAAGAGAAGAAACAAATTGCTATTTTTTTTATTCCTCTCCACTGTTGGGATGGATCCAGAGGCCTTGCAAGAAGGAACAAAGAATTCAGTGCCTTTCTAATGGCATGTGACTCACTTCAGTGGAGAGCCACCCTTATGTTTCAACTCTATCTTAAAGAGGCTGTTTCAGGGGATGGTGGCTGTCAGAATTTGGTTGGAAAAACAGCAATCACTCATGAGTTCTGGCTACAAATGGGTTCTTTTTATAATTAAACTTTTCATTTTAAGATAATTACAGATTTACCTTCAAGGCAGAGAGATCCCATGGGTAGGTGACCCCATTTCCCACAATGGTAACATCTTGTGAAACTACGGTGCTGTATCACAACCAGCTTTTGTGCTTTGACACAGTCCAGAGGTCTCATCCGGATTCCCTATTTCATTAGTACTCATTTGCGTGTGTGTGTGTGTGTGTGTGTGTGTGTGTGTGTGTGTGTGTGTGTTTAGTTCTAGGCAGTTTTGTGACGTGTGTGTATACAAGACCACCCACAGTGAAGATATGGAACATTTCCGTCACCACAAGGATCCCACTTCCTCTCTGCTGGGCTCCCACCCCATCCCTCTAACATCTGGTAACTACTTGTCTGTTCTTGATTTCTCCTATTCTTTCATTTCAGGAACATTCTACACATAGAATAATGTAGTATATAACCTGTTGGGATTGGCTTTTTTCCCCACTCAGTGTAATTCCTTAAAGAGTTATTCTTCCAAGCCACTGCAAGTAACAGTGGTTTGATCTGTCTTTACCACTAAATAGTGTTCCACGGTGGGGAGGCATTGCGGTTTACTCAACTATCCATCTGCCGAAGGACCTGTGTTCATTTTGGATATTAGGAAGAAAGCTGTGGGAAACATACACATCCAGGTTTTTGTGTGAACATTAGTTTTCATTTCTGTGGGGTCACCTGGCAAGAGGACAATGGCTGGGTTGTGTGGTCACTGCCTGTTCAGCTTTTAAAGAATCTGACAAATGGTTTCCCAGGGTGGCTGCACCATGTTACCTGCCCATGGGTAAGTAGGGGGGACTCCGGTTTTTCCACATGCTCGCCAGCAGCTGGTGGGTGACTATTTGGTATTTTACTGGCTCTGATGGGTGTCGTGAGGTCCCACTCTGGTTTGACTTCACATTTCCCTAATGGCTAATGTGTCTCCACATCTTTTCATGGGCTCATTTGCCATCTGAGTATCTTCTGTGGTGAAATGCCTGTTCATGTCTTTTGCCCATTTTCTAAATGGATCATTTTTTTTTTTCAGCCTCTTAACGGGGACTTTTGTGGAGCTGAAATTTATGGTGTCGATGAGGTATGATTGATGGAATTTCCTTTTATAGATCACATTGTTTGTGTCAAGTCCAAGAATTTTTTGGTTGGCCCTCGATTCTGAAGATTTTCTTTCTCTCCCCCACCCAAAAGCTTTCCAGTTGCACATTTTACATTTGATTTAATTTTTGTATAATATGTGAGGTTTAGGTTGAAGTCATTTCTTTTGCTTAGGGATGTCCAGTTTCAGCAGAACCACTTTCTGCAAAGGTCCTCCTTTTTCCTTCAAGCTGTATGGGTAGCTTTGCCAAAAATCATGTGGGCAAATTGATGTGGGTTTGTCTCTGGGTCAGTCTTCTGTTTTACTGATCTTTGCACCCATCCCTCACACAATACCACACTTTCATGATTATTCTATGTATATGGTAAGAGTTATTATTGAGTAGAGCAATTCTTCCCATGTTTTTCTTCAAGATTATTTGAGCCATGCAGTGCTTCTGTCTTCTTAGATAAATTCAGAATTAGTCTGCTACACACACACACACACACACACACACACACACACACATTTTTTTTTTGAGATAGAGAGAGAGAAAGTGTGTTCATGTGTGTGTGCCCAGGAGGGAGGAGCAGAGGGAGAAGGAGAGAGAGAATCCATGCTGTGTGTGGGGTAGATGTGGGGCTCCATCTCATTACCCTAAGATCATGAAAACTAAGAACCGGATGCTCAACTGATGGAGGCATCCAGGCACCCCTAGTTTGCTGGGTCTTAAAAAACCTGTTTGAGCTGTTTTCAATAAGGAATTTGAAGCTTCTGCAACCATTTGGAGGGCTGCAGACATGAAAGGCAGCAAAGCCACCTGCGACCTTCTCAGTGTCGGTATCCAAGCAAGGGCTCTGAAGGGCTCCCCAGAGATTGTTACAAATCTCAAGAACCTCGGGAAAGCCGCTACCAACTCTCCCAGTAGGCTGCACCGAGCAGTGACTCTTGAGGTCAATCTAGAGCAGCCTGGAGGGTCAGGGCCTGAAAGCAGATGGTACAACACTGTCCAGGTCTGGGAACGTGTTGTCAGGTTTCTGTGCAGTTGGTGATGAAAAGCTGGGGAAGACAGCTCCTCACAGAGCCCAGTTTTCAGCGGGACAGAGCTCTCTGGAAGTGGATCCCTACAACCCAGGGAGCGTGTCCTCACATGTTTAGTTATTCGTTGACACAGTGGAAGGGTGTGCTGAACAGGCTAAAGACACTGCAGGGAAGCTATGGGGGCTCAGAGGTGGTTAGGTGAGCAGGCGGGCAAGCCACTTCGGTGGGCTGAGAAATGCAGGGATGCAGGACAGGCAGGGACTGTCAGGGAAGAGGCAGAGGGAGAGAGGAAGGACGCACTGACACACTCATCACACATGAGGGAAGATGCTTCAGGGAAAACCATGTCTGTGCTGAGGCACATGTGTACTGCAGCCCTCCTGTGGGGGAGGGTAGTGCAGGAGAGGGATCCTTCTGGAACCACGGAGGAGGATGAAGGTGTGGATATGCCAGTAGGCTGGTCTGCAGACACTGGGGCTGTGGCCTCATCCCTCACCCGGTTCTGGGGAGCCATGTGACAGTTCCAGTGTTCCAAGAGCAAGCTGAAGAGGTGGGTTGGAAAGCCCAGATGTGCGTTCTGTGTTTCCTTCCTGCAGCCCCATCTGTAAAGCCAGTACTTTGTCTTTAAAAACAACCAGGAGGTTCTGGACTCCAGCCCTTCTTTCTCCCCACCCCTGGAACCCAGTGGCACTCTTTAGAGCTGGAGTGAACACTGAGGTATTGTCTTTGAAGAAAAATACCATTGTTGTGGATCACACTTATTTTATCCAAATGAAGTGTTTATTTACTTCGTGCAGCTCTCACCCATATGACACGTCAGTTCCAATTTGTGGCAGGAAGCTAAGTTAATCTGACTCCAGCCCCCACAAGGCCATTCAAGGCACGTCCCAGAAAATAACAGGATTGTTTAAGGGTCACTGCGGCAGGGCTAAGAGCTGGGTTTTCTCTATCTTTGTGCCCCTGTGTGCAAGAATGCCCACTGCCAATGACGTACAAACTATGCTGGGCAGCAAGACAGCTTTGTAGGGGGTGTGTGTGTCACAACTCTTCCCTGGGGGGCAGACATGGCCTTCAGTTCCATGGTCCCAAGGTGTTCCTCCACGGTCCAGCCAAGGTCAGTGGTTAAGCTAAGGTCATGCGGCTGGGGGCAACAGAGGAGCTGGTAACTTACTAAAAACAGATGGACACATGGAGACACCCAGGAGGTCAGCTTGAGTCAGGAGAGCCGGGACCACGTGAGGGTCCATATCCCCATGGGCAGGTGGCAGAGTTCCTTCCAGGATGGAGCTCCTTGATGGTCCTTTTCACTGGAATCCTCAGTGCCTGGTCCAGAGGAGAGGCTTAGGGTAGATCATATGCTTCCCATCCTAAAAGGATGATAGTCTGATTCATTTTCTGGGGCTGACCTGTGAAACTGCTAAACAAGGAGGCTTTAAACAACAGAACATAGTTTTCTCACAGTGCTGGGGGCTAGAGGTCTCAAATCAAGGTGTCAACAGGATTGGTTCCTTCTGGAGGCTATGAAGGAGCCTCTATTTTATGACTCTCCTGGTTCCTGGTGGCTGGTGGCAAACGTTAATGTTTTTTTGTTTTTGTTTTTGTTTTTGTTTTTTTTTAGAGAGAGAGAGCATATGCACATAGTGGGAGAGGAGCAGAGGGAGAGAGAGAATCTTAAGCAGATTCCACGCCCAGTGTGGAGCCTGACACAGGGCTCGATCTCATGACCCTGAGATCATGACCTGAGCCAAAATCAAGAGTTGGGTGCTTAACTGACTGAACAACCCAGGCTAACCATTCCTTTTTTTTTTTTTTTAAGATTTTATTTATTTATTTGACAGACAGAGATCACAAGTAGGCAGAGAGGCAGGCAGAGGTGGGCAGGAAACAGGCTCCCTCCTGAGCAGAGAGCCTGATTCGCGGCTCAATCCCAGGACCCTGGGATCATGACCTGAGTCAAAAGCTGAGGTTTTAATCCACTAAGCCACGTAGGTGCCCCCAGGCTAATAATTCCTAACCTTATAGTTGTGCTATGATGATTCTGTCTCTATTTGCATCCCTACACTTCTGACCTGCAGAACTGGGAGCTAATATATGGGTGTTTGCTAAGCCCTACATTGGTGGTAATTTGTTGCAGAACATAGAAAAAAATTAATTTGCTGAACTAAGCCACAAAACCCAAACATCCCCATTTTACAAAAGAGGAAACTGAGGCCCAGCAAGACGGGTCATCTTGCCCACAATTGGCCTGTCTGTGGCAGGGAAGGGCCTTGAACTGAACTCTGCTGGGCTCCCAGTCTGTTACACTGTCTTGCCACATAGCCACTTGTATTTAAATGGAAGGCCCCGGTGGTACATATTTCTTCTTCCGATTACTCAACCATTTGATGCACATAGTTATTTAAAGGTGCAGAAATTGCTCAAAATAATAGCGAGAGGAGCATGCAATATTATTGCCTTCATTGGCCATTAGTGGACGGCTTGAGATCAGGCTTGCGTTTAGAGTTAATTATGGGACGGCGAGTCTGAGACTCTGTGGCCTGCAGGCCTGGGGTCTTTGGTCTTTGCCATTGCGAAGGTGACAGGCTACGGCTTATTGATCCCACGTGACCGGGTTTGGCCTCACTTGCATTATGGTAACAGAACCTAGTAAATTGTGAAGAAATGGCAAAAGCTAAATGATGATCACATGTAAGCTATTAATGTAATTGTGTTCTTAGAGCCGCCTTCCTTAAATTACTCCAGTGGTGATTTCAGATTGAATTGGAGTCACATCCCGGGAATAATTCATCCCCCGATCTCAACCCGCATTGGAGTCAACAGCGCACGGCACACATTGAGCTAGCTGCTTTATTGTTGGAATTCCATAATCTACGAGGCACTCTCAGTCATGAAGTAGCTCATTATTAAAATATAATATTACGTTCGCGTGTGATTATTATTTTAATGCAGTTCTCCGTTGACTTACACAAGGAGGCCCAAACTCTTTCAGGCTCCGCTCTCCGTTCTCCTACAGTAAAGTTAATTTATACAAAGATGATAAAAAAATTTGATTTATTTTACAACAGATCAGTAATTGTGCTCTACAAATAAGTTCGTAATGATAATCAACAGCATTTTCAACATAATTTAATTTGTCTTCTCCCGAGAGGTAGTTAAATGCAGTAATAATAACACCAGTGTTATGGACTCAGCAGCAGTTAATCATGGTCTGAATATGCAGACAGCCCCAATATTGTATTGACAGAAATTAAATTAACCATCAGCTTGGGCAATCAGCGGCTATACAGCTATTAAAAGCAATAAAGGCAACAAACCCCAACCATTGCCAATTACATTTTGACATATACAAGGGAAAGGACAGATGCTTTGATTCGAGATTTTTCTTTCCATGAAAATAAGACAAGAGAGTCGCACCTTGAACTTGTGCAGACCTTGTTCCCCCAAGGCTTGCTGAGCGTGGGATGGGCTCTCACATGCGATCTCTACTGACGGTTTTCTTTTCACTAAAAGATAATAATCGATTGGTCAGGAGTCATAGTTTGTTAAATTTTAAGTTGTTTCTCCAACACAACTTTTGGTGTCCCTACAAGGGTTCCCTGTGTGGGGTTTTTTGTTTGTTTTTGTTTTAATTTGTTTTTTTTTTTTTTTCCTAACGTAATGTTTGACACAGGCACATAACAAGGATTCAATTTTAAGATGGTAGGGAAAGCAGGGGAAAAAGGGAAGGAAAAGAAAAGGAAATCTCATATTTTTGAGCTTAGGAAGATTCTCAGTTTAGTTCAATGATGCTGTAATACGACAGTGTTTTACCATCATCTGTAGGAGACTTTGAGCTGGTTTAATTCAATGCCCATCCAAATAGAAGTATCGGGTGGGAAGTAAATTTCTTCTTTCCCCTCCCCCCCCACTTCCTTCCTTTCTCCCTCTCTCCCTTCCTTCCTTCCTCTTTTTTTCCCTTCCTTCTTCCATTCCCTCCCTCTTCCCATTCTCTCCCTTCCTCCCTTCCTTCCCCAGCACACTACCCTCCTTCTTAGTGGAGGTTTCAATCTTCCTCAGCCTTCATGCTTAGAGATTGTCCATATGGGGTTGGTTGTACTGGGGATCTAGCTGAGCCACAGGCTACAGACTGGTTTATGCCACCAATGGTCCTCGGCCACCATATTAGCTGTGGTTGGTGGGGAGATGCTCAGTGGCAGGAGTGGCCATTGAGGCTCCTGGTCACTGACATTGGGTAGAGTACTCTGAGCTGGAGACTGGACCACCTGTGGACCTGGAGGAGGCTCCCATGGAACTCTTTGGTACTGGAAAAAGATGAGATTTCAAGTCGAGACTGGATGGGGTCTGGAAGCCAACTCAATCTGTCTGCATTATTTCCCTGTGTCCTCTCATTTTAGACCCCATGGAGCTCTCCTTTCCTTGTGACCTGCTGCCCCTCCCCCTTCTCCAGTCTGGAACAAACTTAAAGTTGGCACAGTTGCTTGGCACTTGTGGTAAGCAAGCTAGCCTGCTGACCTTGGGGATAGAGAAGGGGCATGAGCCAAGGAAAGCAGGTGGTCTCTAGAAGCTGGCAAGGCCAGGAAATGGAGTCCCACCCAGATCCTGCAGAAGGAGCACAGCGCTGCTGAAACTCTGACTCCACCCCAGGGCAATCTGGGTCCGACTTCTGACTCCTCAACTGTAAAGTAATACACGTGTGTTGTTTGCCGTTGGTGGCAATTTATTAAGGGAGGAATAAGAAAAGAATGCAGTTCTTCATCTTTTTATAAAAACCTATTGTTTATGAAAAGTATTGTATAAGCCAAGCCCTTCATGCTTTCAAAAGTGTGAACCCCAAAGCCCAGGTGCTTGCAAATTCAAAGTGTTAGGTTTTGAAACAGACCAGTAGTTTCCCTGATTCTCTGCCATACACCATCCTTTTCTTGAGCTGAGGGCAGGCACTGATGGGCTGGCAGAAAGGGCAAAGAGAACAGGGAAAAGAAAATTCAATCAACTTTTCAAAATGTCATTCTAATGCGATTTCACACTATAGCACTAGGTATAAGAGTACTGTTATGTCTGGTGTGACCTTGGCTCTAAAGGCACTGTGCCCCAGTCTGCCCTGCTGACCATGCAGACCGGCTTTCCCTGGCCCCAGACTGCATGGGTTGGTTTGTCCAAAGGCAGAGTATCCTGCTCAGCCCAGCTGGTATGTGATTTCCCTTGTTTTAACGCCCAAACCCTCATGTCTGAGAACTTCTTCAGTCTTGGGTATGTTAAAACAGTTGGTCACCTTAGTCATGGTTCATAAAAAATCATGGCTGAGAGGCTGCCATAGCCAGTGGAACCTCCTATCTCCTGGGACTGTGGTCTTCAAACTGTGTTCCAAAGAACCTTAGAAAATCTGTGGAGCCCATCAGTGGTCCCAGGATAAGGGGGGGAACTGGGGCAGCTTCAGGGTCTCCCCTCTTGCTTTAAGCAGAGTGACCTGCTGTAGTGGGCTACATTCTGAGCAATGTTTTTTTTTTTTTTTTTGTTTGTTTTTTTTTGGCCAAAACCAAGGCAACAATAAGTGTGATGAACACTGATAAAACATGTGACCATTACACAGGTGAGAAAGTAGAGGCCTGGGGAGAGCACTGAGTCTAGCAGTCCCAAGGCTAGAACCCCAGTGTCCTCATTTCACATCCATGCTCTGTGCTTGTCCACATGGACAAAGAGCTCTCTACCCCTCAGTCTCTATGCCTCAGTTCCTGGGATGCTTTGGCCAGCAATTCCGCTCTCAGGCCGGGCTCCCTGGACACACAGGAAGCGAGGACGAAGGTGTCAGCACAAGAGCCTGCAGGAAGTGGAGCAGTTACTGCTGTCTCTATCCATCAGGTGACAAAAACCCAATTCTTTCCTCCCACATAATATCATTTAGATATACCACCAGTAAAATGGTGTTTGGGGAGTGCCAAACCCACTTCAGTCGTACCTTTGCTACCAGTGAAGGTCATGGAAGCTGGGGCAGGCAGAAAAGGGAGGAGAGAAGATCTTTTGGCAATATTTCCTTTGACTATTTTTCCACAATGAACTCTGCAATGCAGTGAATGCACAAGACAGTGGCGAGAGTCCCTGTCTCCACAGAGATTATAATCTAAAAAGGAAGGACGTCTCCATAAACAGCTATAGATAACAGGATATTCATATTCTAGATGCCAGAGCCCAAAGGTGATTTCCGGGTCCAGAGGAGGGGTGTCAACCTGGTTTGGGGGCTTGAGGGCAGGGCATGGATGGCTCCTCAAAGGAATCTGAGACTAAAGACTTGGAAAATTAGCCAGGCAAAGAGTGTTCACCTTCACTTGGATTCCCACAACAAGACTGGGACGGGGACACTATACAGTAGAAGAAGGAACCCCTTTAACAGATAAACGGATTTAAGTTCAGAGAATTTAAAAGGACTCTTTTCAAATCTCAGGACTTTTATTGGTGGATACTGATCAGAACACATATCTTTCCATTCCAAATCCAATGCTCTTTCTACTTCAAGAAATGTGGGGCCGGACTCTGCCTCTCCAAGAGGGCACTGGATGAGCAGAACGGAGCATGGGGCATTGGTTTCCTTGAGGTCTGAGTGGATAGTTCTTGAATGGTCACAACTTTAGGTCTCAGACCCCCTTTCCCTGCTCTGAGGGTGTGCCCAGAGCCCTTAAGGGAATTCGTACACATATTTCTTGGCCCAACTCAAGATGATTTGGATGATCCTATCACAAGAGAAGAAGGCATCCCTAACCCTGTCTGGATTTTGCTATAGGGAGGAGATCAGATAGAGCCCAATGCTCAATCTCTTTAAACAAATTCCGTTTTTATTTTGCTTATTATACACATTTATGTGACTATAAAAATTCAGTGCACATTATGATTTGGCTCAAGTTTCTTTAGAGTTCTTGGCTCCAGTTCTAGCCATGGTTAATCAACGGAGGTTGAAGTCCTATTTGAAAACATGACCTTAACGTGGAAATTTTATTTAGAAAAGGGAATTCGAGTGATTTATATACTCTGGATTTATGAGCATTAAAAAGGCACACCCAGCAGAAACAGTTTGGAGTTGGTATCGGACTGGAAATGCAGCCTCTGAATCAGCCTAGAGTTCTGAGTATGACCCTCTATCTTCCTTTTGCAAAGCCATGTGGGTTTGACATGAAATCATTTCAGCTTCTTATGATTAATGAAAGAAAAATCAACTAAAACCTTAAAGAAAATAAAAATGTTAGTGACATTTATGTAATTATTGGTCAAACTCAGTTTGATCTCGAATTCAAGGGATTACTTGGAGTCATATATTATAAAAACATGACAATAATGCAAGTATTTGTCAGTAATAAAATGCATTTTAAGACAATATATTGGACACTTAAACATATCAAGGGGGCATAATGTGAAGGGCCGGTGTTGGGAAGGTGGTTTTCTATGGTCCCTTGGCTTACCGTGGGGCAGGGGTCAAAGTATTAAGGAAATGCCATGAAGTGATCCAGGGAGATGTTTTTCTAGATTACAGAGACCTTAAGGAACAAAGGGCATAACTTTTTTTTCTCAGATAAAGCAAAAGAAGCTCAAGGTGGGTAGATGACATGTCAAGGGCTGCACAGATGGTTCTAGAAAGTGATGTCACAGCTGGTTTTGTCAGCGCATTGCGGTTCCACATTTAGGAACCATAACCAAATGATCTCAATGTATTTTTTCAGCCAATACCATGCACCTACCATGCACCTACAGGTGCCCTGCGACTGGAGAGGTCAATCAACATAGCAATAGCTGATGTCACAGAGGTCGCACTGTGATTGGCTTATGCTGCATATACATAGGTTGGCGTGTGGCTCAGTGGAGTGAGAGAGAGTTCATCTATTTGGGGATAATGGGCTGTGGTCAATAGGAAGTTGGTGTCTGTAAACCGGTTTTGAGATGA